CAAGTCAGGACTTGAGTATGGTTTCAAGCACTAGAAATCATACTCGAGTCCTTGCCATTAGGGTCGTATTTCCAGTGCTTTAAATTATACTCAAGTCCGGACTTGAGCATTGAATAGAATTCTGAAATACGACCCTTACACTGAGCGTATAACAGTGTTGCCAGGTCTACTGTTTTTTAGTAGATTACTGTTTTTGGACGACATCTACTGTTCTACTGTTTTTTAGCGAAAATCTATTGCTTTTTAGGAATTTTCTTGTCAGCTTTTTAGATTTTATGAATCGTCTTTTCCATTCACGACGTCGTACTTTATGTTTTTGGAATGAAAGTGAGAGCACATTAAATAAAAAATGTTATAAACCGTTCTTATTGGATAAAATAGGTACTTTATGCATATATATTTTTTATTATCAGATACCAACATAGTACGATAACATCAAAAACATTAGGTGACAATATTTGAAGAAAATCGATTATAAGTGTTTCTAACACCGTAAGTTTCCTCAATCTACTGTTTTTTCTGTGCAATATCTTCCGATATTTCAGATTTGACCTGGCAACACTGGCGTATATATAGATAAAATGGTCTTTGGTCGGGGAGTACCACAGCACTATCAAACTTGCCTCCAGTATTTAATAAATTATATTGCACGTTCCTAGCGTACATATTTGATATTCAGTCGGTGTACACTACACCGTGTTCGGAAACGTATAAAACTCTTTGTTTTTGAACTTTGAAGTGTTCAATGTTAAATACTCAATATTATTTAGTACTTTAAAAGGATTTACTGATTGGTAAGTAATCTTAATATTATTATTATTGTAATACAATAGGTACTTAAAAAGGTAGCATAAATGATGGGAACAAATACCTTTATTGGTAACTTCTTTTATAGAGCCGTAATTAAAAAAAACACAAATGACTCAGACCGTTAACTCGAACAAGTATAAAATGGTCATCTGTGTGGAGCAAAGAACAATACCCTGTAATAGTTCTAGGTTATTGTTCTTTGGTGTGCAGACAACCGGCGTATTTACGTTGGCAATAACTATAAAGGGTTTCCCTAGTGCGGGGCTATGTTGAGCGTGTGCATTATTATTAACTCACTAGACGTCCTAGAACATAATGGTATCATTCCATTGGGGTAGTCAAGTCTCAATATTGAGCAATGAGCAGATGAAAATCTTGTCAATATTATATAAACCGCTTGCCTTCTTTGTGATTAGCACTTTGCATAATTGTCATAAATAATCACGAATCGGTCCGTAAATCTGAATTAAAATACTTTATCTTTATGATTAGCCCAAACATTACTCATAGAAACTGAATGTTGACTGCGTTTGATCACGAGTGACTCATACGCTCGTAGGTACTTGACTGAGTTTTAAAATAGCATGTTTAGTTTGAGGCGAATTTACAACACTTCTATTATGTAAGAGTTTGTTACGCCTCGCTTAGTCGCTTTATTTTAACTGCCTTAGTGGATTTTCAGAATTTTACAGCAATCGTGTCGTCGTTAACGTGTTATTAAAATGGGTGACGCCACTAATAATAATGCAAATGATGAGAATGATATTCCTACTATGTCCGCTGTCGATATACAGCAGAATTTTTACGAAGCAGTGGGCGACGTGGATTGGGAGCTGTAAGATTTATATCAATAATAATACCTAATTTATCAAAATTGATTACTAAATTTGTTAGTGAGTTTTCTTTCCTCTCTCCCTGCACCTAAAGCACATATATCAACCTCAAGAATAATGTACCCTGTGAGAAACCAATGAGTTTCTAGTTTACTTCTGGATTTTAAAAAATAAACCCTAAATATTGAATACCTATTGACTTCCCATAGATATGAGAAAAGAGATCGCAAACATCTTCTACAGAAGGTAGCGATTGCCTTATGTGGTCCGCCAACAATGGAGGGTGATTTGATGACCAATGGCAATGACCTCAAGATACAAGGCTATGAACCTAGAAATGAAGACACCATTATGAAAGTGTTTAACAAGATTGTTGAGCAAGGTAAGTTACCTACTAATTAAGGTTGACTAAGGTATTTTATTTTAACTAACAGCGACGATTTACCCGACCTGTACCTAAATACTTACTAATATTTTTTTTTTTCGTAAAGTAAAATGATACCTAACTGTAGCCTTTTTTTCGTCATTTTACCATTTAAAAAATACGTAACAACATCGCGAACTACTAAATATAATACAAATATAAGTGATCTGCTTTTTTCCTTGTAATATTATTCAAATATGGATCATCGTGAGCTAAAATTGTTTTCTTAACTATAGCAAATCAATAGATGGCATTACGTGTTATAAACTAATTTAAAAATTAACGCTTACTAGCGTGGGTAGATGACGCTAATCCTAAACAAAATAGAAAATGGTCGGCAAAATCCGTAAAAATGTATGCAATAAACGCCATCTGTTGTTTATTATCGCTTGAAATTAGAGTAGCTTTGACAAATTGCAGCTCGTCATTGTAACCTTTAGCAATTTAAAATGTACTGGTCTTATTTATCGAAAATAGTAATATCAAGCTTTATGCCGATATATAATAGCTACCCAACCTACCTTATACTTTTTCATCCAAATTCCGCCCCTCTTCCATAATCTGTAATTCTGCATTACCCAACCTTTTCATTGGCTAAATGCGAAGGCAAAGCTATTAATAAGAATAATAAAAAAGAAATAGTAAATATGTATGGGTGATTACTAAATAAAACAGCGTGTGCATAAAAAATATGCTTTAGGTACTTACTCATAAGCATTATGCTTGTCGAAAATGTAGCGTGGTATGTCTTTTTATTGTCTTGTTAATATATTTAGAATCAATAGAGCTTCTGAAAAAGTTCGTCCGGGGAAGTACTATCATCGCGGCCTATTGTACCTATTTCTGCCGCCAAACAGTAGTGTGAGCATTACTGCGTTCTGGTTTTGAAGGCTGAGAGTGCTGATGACGCTACTGGCACATGGGACTTATCAACTTTCACAGGTGGCGGACGCAGTAGCAGTCACTTCGGATCTTTGACACTGTAAATGTTCGCACGACTTATTCGCCCCTTTACTAACTATGATAAATAAATAAAAAATATATATAATTATTACAATATTTTTTGCAAACCTCATAAAAAATGTTCATGGAAGATTGCACACCAAGCATCGATTTTACATTTCAGCCAAGTACTCTCACAATGGAGAAAACATTCTTTTATCAATACTAAGAGTCGTTTTCGTTACTCCTACTGAAGAAGTTCCGTTCTATAAGAAAAATCCTGACGACTATTGGGTTGATCTGCACTTAAAAAGAGGAAAGGAGCACGTAACAATCGCCATCTTTCATGTATTTTGTGTGAGGAAATGTATACCTTCACAATCTGGAGGTGAGTTGTATGTTGTTTTTGTACCTATCTAGTTTTCTTCGACATTTGTTCCGGTTTGATTAAACATATTTTTTTTTTAATTGAAATGTTTTTTAACGTTTTTAACTGCCTCCGTGGCCGAACGGTTACCATGCCGGACTGCCACGCAGAGGTCCCAGGTTCGATTCCCGGGCCGGGAGAAATAGTTGTATGGCCTACAATTATTTCTCTCGTGAGTTTGGGTGTAATTTGTGGTTGTCTATATGTGTGTCCATGGTTCGCGACACAGGGTTTCCCTAGTGCGGGGCTATGTTGAGTGTGTGCGTTATTTATTTATTTATTTTTTTTTTAACGTGTTACAAACTAGAATCGAAATTAACTCTTGTCTATCTATATCTACTATTTAAAAAAACTAATAAAGTAGGAACTAATATTGTTTAAAATATATAAATACCTAAATGACGACGTTCTAAGATTCACACGAAGCGTTGTAGCAGCATTTAAATATGACAAACGGATATGGTGTGGAACTCCCTGCTAGCAGATGAGTTTTCTGAATGCTATAACTCGTACCTTTTCATAGCATGGGTGAATAGCCATTATAACAGACATATTATAAGTATAGAAATCAAAAAGCCTAATTAGGATGTAATTCATATTATGTTTTAGTACGTGGCAAAAGGCTTATAGGTGACTCGGAATTAGTACAGGCGAAGCTACAGAGCCTTGAACACCGCCGTAAAGTTGCCTGTTTGTCGGTATTTTACAGGATATATCACGGAGAGAGTGCGATGGAATTACACGATTTAATTCCGCCTTTCCGGGGACTAGACGTAGGCTTGGATTCCACCCCTACATTGTGAATGGTTACCTATTATCAGTAGTCCGAAATGACATTTTCCAGAAATAACGTTTGGTCGAAATTTTATAACCTCGAAAGTAATTTTGAGAGGAAAATGTTTTTAAACGCCGCGACGGAAGAGTTAAACCTAACTTAACCTAACCTTTCCTTTTTTTTATTACCGTGAGGAAAATGCGTTACGCATTCCCCGCCGCTGGGAGACGGCGTGGGACCCTCTCCTGGGGACTATCCCTGCCATGACCTCTCGCTTCCCAGTATGGCTCTAACTATGTTGGGCAGCGAGAGGTCTCGCCCCACCACCTCTACGAGATCCCGGCGCTGCTGGCTCCAGGTCGGGCACACCTCCAAGATGTGCCTCGCCGCACGTAACACTCCGGGATCACCTAACTCCGTGCGATCTTGTGCAGGTAGTCACCGAAACAGCCGTGTCCGGTGAGTACCTGAACAAGACGGTAGGTGAGGGACCCGTGCCTCCTCTTCCTGCAATCGGCCAATCGGTCTGCTCGAAGACGGATGCCTCGAGCTCCCAGGGTACGGATCCAACCAGGGCGCATGCCGGCGCTCCGGAAACCGTCCGGTACGCCCGAATCGCGCTCACCGCCCTCACCGCCATTAGCTTCTGCGGCCTGCGCAGAAGCGGCCGCAGTCTGGTGGGGAGGGCCTCCGCCCAGATGGAACTTAACCTAACCGAACCTAATCGTGTCTTTTCGATAAACATTCAACATATCGTGAAAGAACAATTATGTATTTATCTAAGTATTTATACAGTCTAGTAATTTAATATTTTTGCTGTTCTTTTTTTATTATTATTTTATTACATAATTTAATTTTGTTTTGTTGTGCACGTAAACCCGTTATCGTAATTATTGTGTCCTGTATTTAGGTCTGCAGGAAGAAATTTCTTATAGAAATAAGCAGTACCTTTTGTTTGTCTTTTCCGTTTTACCAAATGTGATTTGTGTTTTCCAGTACAATAAATAATTAAAGAAAATAAATAAATAAACAACTATTTCGTTATAATTCGGTTTTCGGTGTAATGAAAATTCGAACAAACGTTGTATCGGAGAAAAAAATTTTTGAGTTTGTGATAGATTACCGTAGTGAATATTCCAGAGTCGCATGAAGCGTTACGCTTCCACATTTATATGGCGATCGCCTATGGAGTGGAATTCCCTTCCTGCTTACTTGTTCCCTGAACGTTATATCTTGGACCTTATCAAGGCGAGAGTGAATCATTATTTAAGTGTGCATGCTCATCGTCACTTTCGATCAGGTGAGATGGAGATCAAATGTGCACTTACTTTATGGAATAAAAAAACAACATAATATGAGTTTTTGCCCGAATTATATAGGGTGGCCGCAGTGGAGATGAAGTAAAGACGAGAAAATATGATGCATAAATGTGAATAACTATATTAAATTTCCACAAAGGTATTTCTTAAACTAAATAATTTTAAGAACGTCTGAAGTTAGGTACGTTAGGTCTAAAAGTACTTATACGAAAATGATCTTAACTAAAGGAATTTAGTCTACGTCCGATGTTAGGAACGTTGGGCCGAAAAGTGTCTCATAATTATAATTAAAATGACGAGTTTTGCATCGGTCACGTTGCAATGCACGGGGCGCGCGTTCCGGGGTGCGCGAATGCAAGTGCATTGAACTGACGTTTTAGGTAGGTATGTGTGTTATGCAAATCTTTCAAATTCAAATTCAAATTCAAATTAATCTTTATTTCATAGGTAAGCATTATTACACTTGAAATCGTCACAATGGTTAAACTCTACCGCTCATTCGTAAGGCAGATTCCCCTGAGAAGAATGAGCAAGAAACTCTAGGGGTTGCTCTTTGTAAATAACTTTTACAATATTTTTTTTTTTATTTGAAACATCAGATCGAGACTACCTCCATGAGCTAAACGGGTTACTACCACGGATTTTTGTCATCCAAGTACGCAGAAGTTGTATAATAACCTTTAGTATAAAGTTTTTGTTTCACTATAGTTTTAAACCTCGTGAAAGGCAAATTTTGTATATCAACCGGAATCTTCTTATAGAAGCGTATATGTTGCTCCTTAAATGATTTTTTGACTTTGTGAAGACGACTATCAAGAAAAGCTAGTTTATTTTTATTCCTCATATTATTGTTATGTCTGTCACTATTTTTCATAAAGAAATTACTATTCCTTTTAATATAAATTACATTTTTATAAATGTACTGTGAGGCTAGTGTAAGAATGTTAATTTCCTTAAACTTATCTCTCAAAGATACTTTGGGGCCCAGATTGTAAATTACCCTAACTGCACGTTTCTGCAGGACAAAGATTCTGTTGATATCGGCGGCATTACCCCAAAGCAAAATGCCGTATGTCATTAGACTGTGAAAGTATATATATAGCTGAAGTAAACCAATCTAGCGGTTTTGACGTCTGAAAGTTTCCTTATTTTTTTAATCGCGTACACTGCAGAGCCGAGCCGTTTTGACCACTTACTTATATGGGGACCCCATTCCAATTTAGCATCGAACGTTATACCTAGAAATACAGCTGTATCCACAAGATTCAATTTTTCGTTTCTAACTACAATGTTTGTAACCGTCTCTCTAACATTGGGTAATGTAAATTTCACACAATTTGTTTTTTTCTCATTAAGACGTAGGTTATTAACAGCAAACCAATCTAAAGTTAGATATAGCATTGTTCACATCGTCGTAGGAACATTGGTGCCTTTCAACTTTAAATAATAAGGAAGTATCATCAGCAAACAATACTATCTCATGTTTTACACCCTCCATAAGGCTAGGTAAGTCATTAATATACACCAAAAACAAAAATGGGCCTAGAATTCAACCTTGAGGGACACCCATGCTAATTGTAGATCCTGACGATCTCGTACCGTTAACATCGACCCTCTGTACCTGGATACATAACACCCGCTTAGGGTACCCGTTTTACTGACCGACTCCCTATGGGTAAAACAAAAACAAAAAGTTTTAAAAGTGATGTTGCTCACAATTATTATTTGTTTTGTTATTTATAATAATTATAATAGCCAAAAAGGTTGTGTTCGTTTAATGTTTAATTCGTTCATTCAAATTATTTTCGTTTACATGGATTTCAATTGATTAACCTTAACGGGCCCTTCTTGCCCGACCTTCCCCTATTAATAAATTAAATCTGTTCTTCTTCAGCCTTTGTAGACGAGGCATTATGGTTTGTATTAGTGCTGGCTGAATGAATGTAGTAGGTTTGTATTTAGAACTATATATATAAAAAATTAGTATTGTAAAAAAAGAATATCTTGGTTGTTCTAGAACAAGCTACGATCTGATGACAGTAAATCTTTATTCATGCCTCTCGCAACGCAATCTCACAACTACGTCCCCTTACAAGGGACTTTTTAATCATCAACTGATGAGTGGAGGCTTTCTCATTTGCACATCTTTTCCGAACTAAGGCTATTTGCAACCACGATTTTTTCTGTTACTTTGTTTAAATCGTCCTTTCGTCTGTCCTTCTGGCGTCCAACGGTTTTGGCAATTTTGTTTTAGCACTCTTCTGCTACATCGGTGATCTGTTTTGCAGCTTATGTGACCTGCCCATCGTCATTTTCTTTGCGCGATGATACGCCACAAGTAGTCGGTTAAATTAGTGCAGCTCTGGATTCCGTGCTTTTTTTATTTTGTCGCTCGAAGTGATACTTAACGTAGCTCTTTCCATCTTTCTTTGGGCTACCCGCAGCTTTTGGATGTATAGTTGTATGAGGATCCAAGTTTCCGCACTCTTGACCATTTGCGGCTGAACACACTGCGCATACGCCCTTCGTTTGAGAGACATAGGCACTAAATTCAATAGTAAAATAATCTAATATAATCTATGATATGAGTAATCTATGAGAAATAAATATTATTATTTTATTCCTAACAGGCAAAGGTTGCAGAGTGTACATAGACCACGATGCTAGAGTTTACCAAAACTGGAAGAATTATTTAACTGAGAACAAATTACCAAAAGGAGTTGTGGTTGTTCCCAAAAACGGTGAATATAGAGGTATCATTTTAAATGTAAGTATGTTAAAGCTACCTAATTCATCTGTTTAGATAACTTAGAATAATAATAATGCATTTTTTTATTTATCGGTCAATCATTGTAGAACATAGAGGATGCTACCAGTGATGATGTCGTTTGGCCACAAGTACAATACACCGTTGAGCCATCGCCTGCTTTAGGGCTGGGTGCTAAGGTTATTAGCATTGCTGATACAACTAGCACGGGTTTGTTTCTTTTTAAATCGTAATTTTATTAAATAAGTGTTTTAAAAATACTCGAAATTGGGACTCATAAAATTGATGCAAAAGCAATGCCAGAAGAAACAGATCTTTAAAACAATATTTTGGTTTTTATACAGTAGTCATAAATAGTAATTGAGTCGACAATTGACATGTTGTCAATACAGTACTTTTAATTGTATAGGAATGGTAGTTAAAATTAGTAGTCAATATTAAAAAAGCGTTCAAAAGTGTAATTAATGTATCGAGATGAAAATTTAATAAAATGACAGGTACAAAAAATAATCAATTGTAATCACTATTTCTATATTAGATACTAAAATAAATAATTTTTACACCTGAGAAATTAACACCATATCTGCTGTTAGACATTATTCCTTTAGAAGAAATTTATTTTATACAAATTGTTGATATAACAAGTCGATTTTGACTGGGGACTATATAATTTCCGTGTGATATTATAAAATAAGTCATTACACAGCAAATCGTTATTATTCAGATACATGTAATTATTTTGCATTTATTATATATTACACGATTTATTATTACAGACGTGGTAGCCCAATGGTATGACCTACCACCTCTCAAGCAGAGAGTCGTGGGTTCAAATCCGGACTTTCACCTTTCAGTTTTTCGGAATGTATGTATGTTCAAAATGTAATTTGAAATTTACCATGAGCTTTTCGGTGAAGGAAAACATCTTGAGAGGAAACGTGCACACATCTGCAAAGCAATTTTATTTATGCGAAATGCCCATGGCGCATTTGGGCTCAAGCCCTAAACATTGTGAGAGCAGAGACAGCTGTGGGACTATGTGGTATATATAAGCTAACTATTGTTATTACAGCATTGTTTTACAAGAATTTCTATGTCTATATTTTATCTCCTTCGTTTAATAATCCGACTAACTTCATCCTACTATTACGCAGTGGCGAGTATCGGAGCCTTAGTCGGTGTAGTAGGCGTGATGGCTGTACCGGTTGCAGCGCCGCTCACCGGTGCCGTGGTGGCTGTCGGCGCAGCCACTGCAGTGTACGGAATCGTTCGCTCAACTATCAACCTAGTTGACAGAGGCGTTCATGAACAGGTAAGATATTATACAGCATTGTTTCGGAGGGTGGAAAGCAAACGAACCACCTCGGAGGGCTAACCAAACCACCATCAATATTTTCAGTATTCTACAGGATATATACCACGGAGTGTGTACGACGGAATTCCTTGAAATCATTCCGCTATTCTATTTCTCGGTCATTCTCGCACTAGTGTTCACTATCTAATTTCCGTGACAATTTTTATTATTCAAATATCCAAGTACATTATCGGTAATTATTAAATAATATTTCACGATACAATACCTACTCGAGCATTAAATAATATTGCACCACGATAAAAACAGTCGAATACCTGCTTAAATAATAAAAATTGCCTCGGGAAATTAGGTAGTAAATAGTAGTCCGTTGACCGTTCATCCGTTGAGAATGACCGTTCCATCATCGTGGATCAGACGTAGACTAGGATTCCCCCTATGTTGTGTATAATACCCAAGATTCGCACGAAACGTAACGCATCCATATGTATATAGAATACTGCATTGGAGTGGAATTACCTACTTGCAGATTTGTTCCCTCAACGATAACTTGGGCCTTCTCAAAGCGAGATTTGTTGGTAGGTCAATGGCGAGAGTCACTTTTCATCAGGTTAGGTTAGGTTTAGGTTAAGGTTAGGGAATCTCTTTTAATTTTTTATGAGGAAATTGTTTATTTTTGACAAGTTCGTTGTTTTCATGGGCTCCATGTTGAGCTTAATAAGACACTGTGACGATGCAGCCGCATCACTACTAATTTTCATACAATATTTAGAAGCGCAGCTGCAGCGCCACTGCCGCGCCACAGACTCGCTTCCACAAGCTTTTACTTTAAAGGCACCCTAAATGTAAAACCCGCGAACCACGGCGGCTTGTTTGGGCAAGAGCGTTTCATTATAACGGTAGGAGTAACCTACTCGGAAATGTTTTCATTAATTTAAAAAACAATCCGGCAGTCACTTTACTTCCCGGACTCTGCAATGATGTACTTACTATTCTTGTAAACATTGGTTCCAGGATATTGGATTAAAGAATTCCGAAGCACGTGGCAGTTGGATAAATATTCTAGTCTCCACAGTGGGGCTCTCGTTCAGCGCCGCGGGCAAAGTGTTGACGTGGGCTGCCGCCTCAGGCACTAACGTCACGGTGGGATATTATGAACGATTGCTTGATATAATGAAAATTATCAATCCTTCATTTTCATTAAAATCATATTTGAATTACAGATTTTCGTCAATGCCTTCACATTATTGAAGTATACCACCACCGCAGCTGGTTTATGCGGTGTTATTAACGGTTTCGTGGACATGATCCATAAGGTATTTTTATGTAATAAAAAAAATGTTATGTATGTTATAGTTACTATATATACCTATATAGTAACTATAACCGCTTAACTAATACTACGTAGTTCCAAAGAACGAAAACACATCCGTATATCTCATTTAAATAGTTATATCTGTGGTAGGAATAATCTGGGTAAAAAAACTTTTCTAAATTGATTTTGGTCTGGGTGTTTGGAGAAAAGGTTATTAATTTTCCTGAACAAAACTTCAAATCAAATGTTAAATTTCATGACCTTCCTTTTATTCAAGATGCTATGTCATTTAGAAGAAAACAATCCTTGTAAATAATTGAGGCTTACGATCAATATAGCAAAATTACAGTTGTTTTTTTTCACATTTGGTTGGTTCGAGTCTCGGTTCTGATAGACAGAATATTAAATTTTATTAAATACTGTTCGAATTGTTTTTAAAATCAAAGTGAAGTCTTCTCTCAGTAATTTTTTTATCTACGGTATTTAAAGTACTTTCCCTCCGTGTGGCATAGCCGTGTTACGCCCTTTATTTATGGAAATAACACTATATTCCCATTGTAAGTAGGTACATCTTTTAGATTTTATATCCACAACGTTCGTTGGTAAAAATTTGTTACCCCTCAAGATCCCTTATTGTATAACTAGTGTAATGGATACATTAATCCAATACCTTAATTAACATTTTCAGTATAACGTATACAAGGAGACTCCAACAGGGTTAGAAATATTTCAATTAACGTCATCAATGTTGTTCTTGGGCATTGGAGTCATGTCCAATAAGACGGCTCAGGAGATCGTACAAGACGCGCAAGCGAAAACTATTAACGATATGAGAAGTACATTGACTAGCAACGCCAAAAGGTAAATAAATAAATATACATAGATTGACCGCCATATCTTACATATCCGCTGGAGACTATTATTATTTTCCAAGGTCTATGGGATACAAAAAAGTAACACCATCCAACGATAAGTGTTCCCATTCGGCACCTATGGTGGTGCTGGTGAAGTGAAAAAATCTTGCAAATCCACGGAAAGGTTACAGATAGACAGTTCTGTGTCCACTGACACTTGCACTTCATCCAACTATTCGTGATCTTACCGTCGTAATCGTGGACTGTCTTAAACAAAAATTTTCACCTTTGTTGCAGGAAAATGTTCGACAAGGTAACAGCAGAAACAAGAAGAGTGCAGGGCACTACTCAAGGGAACGCAGAAGTCATAAGAGGTCTCAAGATGATTGAAAATAAAAATGAATTCTTCGCCAAATTAGCGAGAATAAATAAACAAATGAACCAAAATAAACTTAGAATGTCATTAGCACCCGATGGTAAGCCACTTATTAACAACCAGTTCAAAGTTGCCGTTTCAGAACTTCAAAATTTGGGAAGTGAGGGACGGAATCGTTTATTTGCGAGCTATGGACCTGCTAATGTGACTACAAGGAATGTGCCAACAAGAATTTATCCATCAAATACATCAGCTGAAACATGGTCCGCTACCCAATTTAATGATATTACATGCTACATTTGTACAGAAGAGTTAATCAAAATAACTAACTTCTTGATCCAACTAAGCCAATCGGAAAAAGATTTCATCTATGAACTTTTATCAGAATTAAGTTATTGTCTCCAGGACGCTTTCCTTTTGCTCTGCTCTGAGATTGTGACCTCGATACTGCCAAGGGAGCTCCAAATTCTTGGCTCACACGTTACCTCATACATAGTGTTGTTCCTTTTCAACTTTATAAAAAGGCGTATTGCCTCAGTGGACGTCAACATTGAGAATGCATCTGAAATCGTGCTTAATGAATTGATACATCATGGAAGAATAAAACCAGCCACGTTTAAAATGTTGAAAGAGAGATTGATGAATAGGTTAGCAGAAATAAAAAGTGGCAAAGTAAACTTTGACCTGGAAATGTATAATGAAATGCATAAACTCCGAAGTGATCCTAAGGCCTTTATGACACTAGAAGCTGGGGAAGTGATAGATATTGGAATACATACAGTTTTGATCAAAGTGTCTACTATAGAGAAGTTAGAGAAATGGCTTGTTGGGTATTCACAGGAATATTGCGACCTTTTCATTGATCTTTGCATTAAAGTCGTCTCAATGTTGAGTATTCAGGAAGTGAAGAGGTTAAATATGGTTAATCCCGATGAAGATTTAATATTAAGGGTAGCTGATTTTGTTGTTTCATGGCACGATGTTGAGCTAGAATTGATTAGGTTTGAAGAGGAAGGAATATCGACGACTTTTATTGTAAATATTAAGAATAACCTTGTAAATTACTGGAATAATCAAAGTTTACGAAAACACGAAGTCTGTAATTTATGCAACGGCGAGAGGTATTTGGTGAAATGAAGTCGTCTAATGACTTATGCCTATAATCCAATTTAGTTATAATACTGCTTTCATCTATTAAGTCAATCTATGATCGAAACTGCCTACGTCTTGAAGAATAGGTATTTTTGAAAACCGTAACATTTTTGGTAACGATTTAGTGCATTTATTTTAAACTGAATAGCGCACATCCATTTGCTAGTAGTTTGCACATTTAAGTACCCATTTATTGTTTTTTTTTGTTAGATTAAGGATTATTTGTTACATATATATATATATATATATATATTATATATAATATTATATATATATATATATATATATACACACATCAAAAAAAGTTTGCGATCACTTCGAAAAACTGAAATCTTTTTTGTTACTGTAGATTATATTATGATTTTTTCTTCTTTTTGGATTCTTTATTTAAAAATAAATTAGAACATAAAACAATGACCCCGTTCAATTGTTTTTTCATATAAAAAGGCTTTCAGTCCTAGCTTACGCTCATTCAGAAATCTGATTTAGTCAATTATAAGCGATTCAAGATATTTTTCGCGGAAAGTTGTGATTGAAAAAATGCCAAGAGGATTATCAGAGGTTTTACGAGCTAGAATAGTAACTTT